GAGAATTTTGAGGGGATTTTGGGAGGATTTTGAGGGGATTTCGGGAGGATTTTAAGGAAATTTCAGGGGGATTTTGGAAATATTTTGGGAGGATTTTGAAGAGATTTCAGCAAGATTTTAAATGGATTTCAGGAGGATTTTGGGAGGATTTTGCAAGATTCTGAGAGGATTTTGAGATTTTGGGAGGATTTTCAAGGAGTTTTTTGAAGATTCTGAGGGGATTTCAGGAAGATTTTGAGATGATTTTATAAGGATTCTGAGAAGATTTTGTGACAATTTCGAAGAATTTTGCCACAATTTTGACAGGATTTTGAGAGAATTTTGAGGGGATTTTGGGGGGATTTTAAGAGGATTTTGAAGAGATTTTCACAAGATTCCAAGGGGAATTTTGAGAAAATTTTGGGACGATTTTGATGGGATTTTGAGGGATTTTTGGGACAATTTTGATGGAATTTCAGAAGGATTTTAAGAAGATTTTACCAAGATTCCGAGGGGAATTTTAAGAAAACTTTGAGAAGACTTCCAGCTGAATTTCCTAAGAACTTTGTGGATTTTTGGGGAAGAATCCCTCACCTTTCAGCGCCACCCCGTTGCGCCGGATGGCCATGATGGCGTTTTGCACATCATCCTCAGGCGCCTCCGAATTCACCCGAACCTCCTCAAAATCCACAGGAACACACGCATGCCTGGAATGGGAATACTCAAACCCATCAAAACCTCTCCTTCACCCCCAAAATTCCCAAAAATCCCCCAAAATCTTACCTGAAGACCTCTTTGACGTGCAGCATCAGCTCGGGGCCGATGCCATCACCGGGGATCAGCGTCACCGTGTGCCGCCCGCCGTACTTGGCCGGGGGGGGCTGTGGGGACACCGGGGGGGCTCATTTGGGTGTCCCCACCCCCCCTTTTCCGAAATTCCCAATCTTGACATCACCCCCAGTTATTTTGGGATCATCCCAAGTGGTTTTGGGACTGCTTCCAGTGGTTTGTGGAGCCCCTCAAGTGGTTTTGGGATCCCCCCAATGATTTTTGGAGCCCCCCCAAGTGGTTTTTGGGATCTGCCCAATGATTTTGGGATTTCCCCCAGTGATTTTTGGAGCCCCCAAGTGACTTTGGGATCCCCCCCAGTGGTTTTGGGACCGCTCCCAGTGGTTTGTGAAGCCCCTCAAGTGGTTTTTGGGACCCCCCCAGGTGATTTTTGGAGCCCTCCCCCAATGACTTTGGACACCCCCTGTGATTTTTGAAGCCCCTCCAGGTGGTTTTTGGAGTCCTCCCAAGTGATTTTGGGACACCCCAAGTGCATTTTGGGACACCCCCAATGATTTTTGGAACTCCCCAAATGATTTCTGGAGCCCCCTCAAGTGGCTTTTGGGATCTGGCCAATGATTTTGGGATTCCCCCCAGTGATTTTTGGAGCCCCCAAGTGATTTTGGGACCCCCTGAGTGCATTTTGGGACCGCTCCCAGTGGTTTTTGGACCACCCCCAGTGGTTTCTGGAGCCCTTCCAGTGGTTTGTGGAGCCCCTCAAGTGGTTTTTGGGACCCCCACAATGATTTTCGAGCCCCCAAGTGATTTTTGGGACACCCCAATGGTTTTTGGGACCCCCTCAGTGCATTTTGGGACCACCCCAATGGTTTTTGGGATCCCTCCAGTGTTTTTTGGAGCACCCCCATGATTTTGGGACCACCCCCAGTGATTTTTGAGCCCCCCCAAGTGACTTTGGGATCTCCCCAATGGTTTTTGGGACCACCCCAAATGATTTTGGGACCGCCCCCAGTGGTTTGTGGAGCCCCTCAAGTGGTTTTTGGGATCCCCCAGTAATTTTGGGATCCCCCTAACATTTTAGGATCTCCCCTGTGATTTTTTTGGAGGCCCCCAATGATTTTTGCAGCCCCCCACAAGTGATTTTTGGGACCCCCCAGTGGATTTTGTAGCCCCCCAAGTGGATTTTGGGACCCCTCCAAGTGATTTTAGGATCTCTCCAGTGATTTTTGGGGCCCCCCCCGATGATTTTTGGGGTACTCACGATGCTGCGTTGCTGTGGGAGAGAAGAAAAGGGGGTCATTAGTGACAAATGGGGCTGGGGGAGGGTCGGGACCCCCCTCAAA